GATACATTGGCGGCCCGCACCAGGGAGAAGGCATTTCCTGATGGCCCACACCTGTTGCACTGAAGTGTTAACTGAATGCAGGCACCAGGAAGATACAACTTTCTGGGCATGTGCATTAAGAGACAAAATGGAGGCCGGGCAGGGTGGCTCACACCTGTAATCTCAGCACTTTGGGAGGCCAAGGCGGGTGGATCACCTGAGGTTGGGAGTTCAAGACCAGCCTGACCAACATGGAGAAAGCCCACCTCTACCAAAAAAGAATACAAAATTAGCCGGGCATGGTGGCGCATGCCTGTAATTCCAGCTACTCGGGAGGCTGAGGCAGGAGAACCACTCGAACCTGGGAGGCAGAGGTTATGGTGAGCCGAGAGCACGCCACTGTACTTCAGCCTGGGCAACAAGAGTGAAACTCCGTCTCATTAAAAAAAAAAAAAAAAAAAAAAAAAAAAAAAAAAAAAAAAAAAAAAACAAGAGAGAGACAAAATGGCAAAGGATGACCTTCTGAGGGCACTCCACCAGAAAAGGGAAGAAAGCCTCAGATGGGCATGTGTACAACTTCCTAAACACAGTGAATGCTCACCTCCCAAGGATAAGGAGGGCACTGTGCATGTGGGCAGCCCACTCTGAGGGAAGAATCATGGGAAAGGGACCAGCCTATAAAGTCCTAGGATCAAGGTTCAACACTGCACTTGACCTTCAGGTGCCTGCTTGGGTCTAAGTGAATTTTCTTTTCTTTCCTGTTCTAAAGTCTTTTTTTAAAAAATAAGCCTTTTTTAATAAACTGCTCTGAAACTTGCCTCAGTTTCTTTTTCTGCCTTATGCTCCTCGGTTGAATTCTTTCTTCTGAAAAAGCAAGAACTGAGGTTGCTGCAGACCTGTACAGATTCACCACCAGTAACTCTGATGTCTTCCACCGGTAACAGTGCAATCATAGCTTGCTGCAGCCTCAAACTCCTGGCCTCAAGCAATCCTCCCACATCAGCCTCCTGAGTAGCTGGGAATATAGGAGTGTGACCATGCCCAATTTAAAACTAATGTTTAATATGCTTGTTTTTATATGCTATGTGTATAAATCAGAGCTAAGTGGTGGAAACAGAAACCCCCTAAGTATTTCAAGCAGAGAGGGATATAAGAAAGATAATTGTCTGCTTTCAACATTGTTGGAAGGACTGGAGGAGAAGTCAGGGGTCATAACATGAGTATTGGTTTCAAGGTCACACCTCCAGAGTTTCAACCCAGAGGTCAGGAAGCTGCTGGGCAGCTGCTGTTACCACCATGGCAGCACCACCACTGCACCACTGCCTCACGCCCGCTTATGAGGAAGATTGAACTGGGAACGCTGCACAATTCCAAAAGGAACAATGCAGCCTATGTCATTGGTCATCTCACCCAGTGTCCTCCGAAAAAAGACAAAGTAAGGAATGAAGTGGGTCATCTAAGGAAAAAAATTAATCCTGGTTTTTGCCTTGCTGGAACACCTGCACTGCTCTTAAGATGGCTTTTTTTTTTTTTTTTTTCCCAAGATGGAGTCTTGCTTTGTCACCCAGGCTGGAGTGCAGTGGTGCAATCTCAACTCACTGCAAGCTCCGCCTCCCGGGTTCACGCCGTTCTCCTGCCTCAGCCTCCCGAGTAGCTGGGACTACAGGCACCTACCACCACGCTTGGCTAATTTTTTTTGTATTTTTAGTAGAGACAGGGTTTCACCATGTTAGCCAGGATGGTCTCGATCTCCTGACCTCATGATCAGCCCGCCTCGGCCTCCCAAAGTCCTGGGATTACAGGTGTGAGCCACTGTGCCCGGCATGATGGCCTGTCTTAAAAGGATGTTTATTTTCTGACTCCCATTTCCCTCTACCTCTCTTCTATCCTGCTGCTTCCAATTCTCTTTAGCTTCTTTAAGCAACTACAGGTGGCCAGTTGCTATCAAAGACTAGGAGAAGGTTTAAAGGAGGGATATTCGTAAGATTTGGTCCTTCATTTAATAATATGTGTGTTACCTGCATCTGCTCTGCATGCAGGGGCAAAAATGAGTTTAAGATGTAATCCCTTATATAAAAACATATATACATGGCACCAGACACTGTGCTAAGCCCTTAGCATTCATTATCCCACTTACTTCTCTCAACTCTCTAAGATCAACACTGCTCTCATCCTCATATTCAGACAAGAAAAATGAGACTCAGAGAGAATGGGTAATCTTTTTAATGTCACCCAAGCTCTAGAGTTGCAGAGTCAGATTCAAACCCAGCCCTGTCTTACCCCAAAGCCACTGCCCATTCCATGACAGTGGCATTTCTTGTTATCGAAAAGTGTGGTGTTTTGCCAAGATGCCATCAAAATAACTAAAACCTAAATCTGGTAACTTCAGACTGTCAGTTCCCCACTCTCCCTAAGAAATGCCTACCAGTTCCTGTGTCATCAGCGCTTAAAGGCAGCTGACTGGCCTGGGGGTCAAATCAAAAGCCTTAAGACTCCAGGGAGGAAGTACTTGCTTCTGAGTGTGGTATTGGAGACTTCCAGAAAGATTCGACATTTGATCCAAGATTGGAAAGATAAGTAAATATTGCCAGATAGAGGTGGGGCAAAGAGCATGTTCCAGGTAAAGATGCAGATGTGGGAAAACCTAGGGCCTGTTTGAGGGGTGTGTGGAACACTCTGGGAACTGCAGCAGATGAGGAGAGGACAAGTGTGTGGCACTTAGCCTAGTGCCCGGCACACAGGAAATACCGGGTACATCTTCCTGGAAGGCCTTGGAACTCATCATTAAGAGAGCAGCCTCAGAGTCATAGGCCTGGCTGTAAATTCTGTCTCTACCACTTAAAAACTGTGAGACCTTGGGCACTGGCTGATCACTCAGGTGTCCCTTCCCCATCTAAATGGTGAACTAACAGTCTTGCCTCATGGTGGTCATGAGGATCAAGTGACATAGGCCCTCTTAAGTGCTCTCTCTGGCGTCCTAATTAGGGAAAGGGAGTCAGGCTGGTGGGAGCAGGGGAAAGCAAAAAGAAGCAGATAAGCTACAAGTCTGCCTTTGTATATGCTCCAGCACAGCCCTGCTGCACAAATAACTCACAATCTTCCTACACCCAGCTATCACCAGATCTTCCGCTGATACGAAAAAATCCAAGTTAGCTCCCTGCAACCTTGGCGTTAATCAGTACTGAGTGCGGCACTCTGTAGCCCCAGAACCATCCTATAAAACGTCCAGCAAGCCTTTGTTTCCTTGCAGTCAATGCCTTTTCTGCTGAGCCTGCCCATTGCTTCCTTGAAAGGTAGTTTCATACTTTCTCTAATGAATCTGCCTTTTTCTACCTACAACTGTCTTGAGACGGAGTTTCACTCTTGTTGCCCAGGCTGGAGTGCAATGCTGCGATCTTGGCTCACAGCAACCTCTGCCACCCGGGTTCAAGCGATTCTCCTGCCTCAGCCTCCTAAGTAGCTATGATTACAGGCATGCGCCACTATGTCTGGCTAATTTTGTACTTTTAGAAGAGACAGGGTTTCTCCATGTTGGTCAGGCTGGTCGTGAACTCCCGACCTCAGGTGATCTGCCCGCCTCATCCTCCTAAAGTGTTGGGATTACAGGCGTGAGCGACCGCGCCTGGCCTGTCTTAGTAAATTCTTTTACCTCCCTGCCACCGGCCAGATAGTCGTCGCTCACCCCTGACACTTTTTTCATGGCTTCAGTTGCAAGTAACAGCAAACCTAACTCAAACAGGCTGAAGAAAACAAGGGACGTTTTTGACTTACTCTGGGTAAAGTCCAGCGGTAGAGCAAGCCCCACGCGCCATGGGATCCAGAGAGACAATGTGATCAAGTCTCCCTTTCTCTCTCATTCTCCCTCACTTCTCCTCTCTGCTTCTCTGTGTAGATTTCAAACCCAGAAGAGAGAAGCCCCCTCTCCACCACACCTACACATATTTCAGAAAGCTAAGGATGGGGTCGGGCGCATTGGCTCACGCCTGTAATCCCAGCACTTTGAGAGGCTGAGGCAGGCAGATCACCTGAGGTAAGTAGTTCGAGGCCAGCCTGACCAACATAGCGAAACCCCATCTCCACTAAAAATACAAAAATTAACCAGACGTGGTGGCACATGACTGTAATCTCAGCTCCTTGGGAGGCTGGGACAGGAGACTAGCTTGAACCCGGGAAGCAGAGGTTTCAGTGAGCCAAGACAGTACCACTGCACTCCAACCTGGGCGATAGAGCGAGACTCCAACTCAAAAAAAAAAAAAGAGAGAGAGAAAGCAAGCAAGCAAGCTGAGAGTGGCGGTGGGGTGGCAGAGGGTAGAATGCTCAGATTGGCTGGCCTGTGGCCAGGCTGTGAAATGCTCTCACTGGCTGGCCTGCATCATATGCTTATCTCTCATCAATAGCGGCACAACACTTCAGAGAGTGGGAGAGGAAGTGGGGGAGAAAGTACATTCCTGGAAAGGGATTTTGGATGGACAAATTACATTTAAATGCTTTTAACAGAGTACCTGGCTTGTGATAAGTGCTCAATAAAGTTGGGGCCACAACAAGTGGAGCCTTGAATTCTAGGCCAAGACTATTGAGCAGTGGGGAGCTACTGAAGGTTTTGTCCAGGGTGGTCGTCAGAAGACTGGTCTGATAATGGGGGTGTGGCAGAGGGTGGAGGAGGGTGGAGAAGCTGATGGCAGAAAGATCCTCTGGGAGCTTAGTATTCAGCATCCAGGTGAAAGAGATGATAGTAGACACAGAATAAAGGGCTTCATTCAATGATGGCGAAGAATGACAGGCTTTGGGAACCTACTCCCTGGGGTGGGCAAATAAATGTGAGGAGGGGAGAGGAGGTTACAAGCTTGAGTGTCTGCCAGGATGTTGGTCTTGAGAGGTGACAACATGCTAGCAGCCCTCACTCTTGGCGCCTCCTCGGCCTTGGCATCCACTCTGGCAGTGGTTGAGGAGCCCTTCGACCCACCACAGCACTGTGGGAGCCCCTCTCTGGGCTGGCCGAGACTGGAGCCAGCTCCCTCTACTTGCGGGGAGGTGTGGAGGGAGAGGCGTGGTCAGGAACCTGGGCTGTGCACCAGAGCTCGAGGGCCAGTGCAAGTTCGGGGTGGGCATGGGCTCCACAGCCCCGCACTCGGAGCCGCCGGCCTGCGCCATGGGCCCCGGGCAGTGAGGGGCTTAGCACCCGGGCTAGCAGCTGCAGAGGGTGCACCAGGTCCCCCAGCAGTGCCGGCCTGCTGGCGCTGAGCTCAAATTCTCCCGGGGCCTCAGCTGCCTCCCCGCGGAGCAGGGCTTGGGACCTGCAACCTGCCATGCCCGAGCCTCCTCCACCGCTGTGGGCTCCTAAGCCTCCCCAACTGCTGCGGGCTCCTAAGCAGCCCAAGCCTCCCCTACGAGCGCCATCCCCTGCACTGCAGCGCCCAGTCCCATCGACCGCCCAAGGACTGAAGAGTGCCGGCCGGGGCCCCGGGACTGGCAGACAGCTCCGCCCATGGCCCTGGTGAAGATCCACTAGGTGAAGCCAGCTGGGCTCCTGAGTCCAGTGGAGACTTGGAGAACCTTTATGTCTAGCTAAGGGATTGTAAACACACCAATCAGCACCCTGTGTCTAGCTCAAGGTTTGTAAATGCACCAATCAGTGCTCTGTGTCTAGCTAATCTAGTGGGGACTTGGAGAACTTTTATGTCTAGCTAGAGGATTGTAAATGCACCAATCAGCACTCTCTGTCTAGCTCAGGGATTGTAAATGCACCAGTCAGCACTCTGTCAAAATGGACCAATCAGCTCTCTGTAAAACAGACCAATCAGCTCTCTGTAAAGCAGACCAATCAGCAGGATGTGGGTGGGGCCAGATAAGGGAATAAAAGCAGGCTGCCCAAACCAGGCAGTGGCAACTCGCTGGGGTCGCCTTCTGGAGTGTGGATGCTTTGTTCTTTCAGTCTTTGGGTCTAGGCAGACTGTATGAGCTGTAACACTCACCAGGAAAGTCTACAGCTTCCCTTTTGGGGCCAGGGAGAGCAGGAACCCACCTGGAGAAATGAGTGGGAATGAACAACTCTGGACAAGGGGAACAGGAACAAAGAACTCCAGATGTGTCACCTTAAGAGTTGTAACACTGTGAAGGCCTGTGGCTTCACTCCTGAAGCGAGGGAGACCACAAACCCACCCGAAGGAATAAACTGGAAACACATCCGAACATCAGAAGGAACAACTCCGGACACACCATGTTTAAGAACTGTAACACTGCAAGTGTCGGCGGCTTTGTTCTTGAAGCCAGCGAGACCAAGAACCCACCAATTCCGGACTCAGTCTGACCTTTCCAGCTTTTTTGTTTTCTTCTCTTTTTCTCTTTTTCTTTCGTCCCCATTCATTCAAAGTGATGCATGTTTTCCTCTTCTTTCTCTGATGCGTTTCATGTGCACACCTGCTGAGGGCTCTACCTGGAGCAGTTTTGAAAGGATTGGTTCCTAAACAAATGTAGCTAATTAGGAAAGGTCCCAGTGAATGAAATGTTTTCCTCTTAGCATAAAAGAAAAACAGGAGATCTGTAGAATGTGCGTAAGACCTAGAATAGCTACTATCAGTCTCTTTCAAAGAACAAAAAATGGATACAATTTTGGCCTAGGATCCTTGAATGTTATAACATGTTGGTGTTAGAAATCCAAAGAATGTAGCAGAAGATGGGTTGTGCCAGCATCAGTAGGGAGGTGCAAGGTGTGTGTGTTTACAAAGGTCTGTGAGTGAGCTGAAGAGTGGCAACATCTTCCAGACAGCTGCTTCTCGCAGTGACACTGGCCAAAGCTATTAAAAAATGAGCAGGGCTGAGAGAGGCAACAGAGAAATTTTTCCAGCTGTGCTTCCAAAATGTATTTCTTAAGGGGCTGGGGTTTGAAGCAGAGAGTTGCAGAATGTGGTGCACTGATGCTATCTGGAAGCAACGTGTGCCTGCTCCAGGGAGCCCTCAGCCCAGGCAGTATCCACAATACATTTTTTTTTAAGTGGTGATGAAAATTTGCTCTTGTGTTTTGCCTTTGAAACTTGGGTGAGTTACTGAGTCTTTTGACAAGCTGACGAGGAATGCTAATCCCCCTTCATAATCTGGGAAGTGAAACCAACTATAAACCACCCAAAGAAGTAGTTATGGCATGGCCTGTTACTTGTCTGCCAGCTTCAATCTTTCACAATGTAGCCTCTTGTATAAAGACCGCATAGGGGATGGCAGAACAGCAAGTTAGAAGGCGCCTACGACCCTGAAAATCTGACACAGACGTTAACAGGGTAGTGACAATCTTATCCGAAAAGGGTTGAAAGACCTCTCTACCCAAAAATTTCTGTCTTGCAGTCCACCACAGACGATTGACATGGCACCCTAAGTATCCCACTTAAGGATGAAGTATCGTCTCCTGAGAGTGCAGGCTCTCCCTTTCTTTATACCAAACACCTATTCATCCTTCCTCGTTCAGCTTCAGTGATGGGCGTCTCTCAGGAAACTTGCTCTGTCCCCGATACTCTCTGTCGTCCTTCCTCCATCTCTCTTTCCAGCAGGAAGCTGACCATGAGGTTCTCTAAGCATTCATTTTCTCCAGCCGCTGTCAGCCCCCAGAGGGCAGGAGGCTTATCTTTTTGGTTTTGCATCCCCAGCACCTTGTAGTCAAAAGATGAATGAATGAGTATGATACAGTGGAAAGGCCACTAAACTGGGAGTTCAGTGCCTGTGCTAAACAGGCTCCTTGCCTGGTGCTATGGTTTGAGTGATTTCCTCCAAAATTCATGTGTTGAAACGTAATGGTTCATGTGATAGTATTAAGAAGTGTGGCATCTAAGAGGTGATTATGTTTTGTGAATGGGATTAAAGCCCTGAGGCTTCCATGTAGCACTCAGTCCTTTTTTGTTGTTCTCCCTTCCGCCATGTGAGGGGACAGCATTCATCCCCTCTGTAGGATGCTGCCCCAAGGCCCCTTCTTGGAAGCGGAGGAACTGAGACCTCATCAGCTGCCGCCTTGATCTTTGAATTCTTAGTTTCAAGAACTGTGAGAAATAAATTGATTTTTTATGAGTGATTCAGTCTGTGGCATTTTGTCATAACAGCTCAAATGGATTAAGATAGCTGATGATCGTGGACCTCTTGAATATTGGCGTCCTCATCTGACAAGTAAGAAAAATAATCTCCACTGCCCTTCCGCCCTCCCCAGGTTTTCCACAGGATGCAAGTGAGATAAGGGATTTGAAAAATCATTTAGCCAGAACAGAGCTCGGAAGGAAGGAAATCTGAGGACACACTAGTCCAGCTCACTCATTTTACAGATGAGAGAATGCATGTGGTGGCGCATGCCTTAGTCTCATCTATTTGGAAGGCTGAAATGGGATGATCCCTTGAGTCCAGAAGTTCAAATCCAACCTGGGTAACATAGTAAGAGCCTGTCTTTGAAGAAAAAAAAAACAAAGATCCTCAGATTTTCTGTGTGTGTGTGTGTGTGTGTGTGTGTGTGTGTGTGTGTGTGTATGTGTAGAGACAAGATCTCCCTATGGTTGACAGGCTGGTCTCAAACTGCTGACCTCAAGTGATCCTCCCACCTTGGCCTCCCAAAATGCTGAGATTATAGGATTCAGCCACTGAGCCCACGCTCAGGTGTTTTGTTTTTTAAATCAAAATTTATTATCCCTTTGTAAACCAAAAATAAAATTCCAAGATGCCCCAACCACCTGAATGGACTTCCTCCTCAGCCTGGGCTCTTTTAAAATTTAACCTGAAAGACTGTTTCAGGCCATGATGGGCAGTGGTGGTTGGACATGCCTCATTATACCTCTCCAGCATTAACATCAACACAGACTTTAAGTCTCATAAGAAACATTTTACAACCTATTCTCTCTGAAGCCTACTACCTGAAGGCTTCCTTTGCCAATAAGAAATTTGGCCTCCACAACCTGTTATCTTAATCCAAACATTCCTTTCTATTGATCTCGGGTCTTTAGATAAACTCAACCAATTGCCAACCAGAAAATTTTAAAATCTACTTGTAAGCTGGAAACCCCTGCTTCACCTGCTTCAAGTTGTCCTACCTTTCAGGACCAAACCAATGTATTTCTTTCTTTCTTTCTTTTCTTTTCTTTTCTTTTTCTTTTCTTTTCTTTTTTTTTTTTTTTTTTTTTTTGAGACAGAGTCTCACATTGTTACCCAGGCTGGAGTGTGCAGTGGTGCAATCTCGGCTCACTGCAACCTCTGCCTCCTGGGTTCAAGCGATTCTTGTGCTTCAGTCTCCCGAGGAATGAGGATTACAGGCAACACCACCGTACCCAGCTAATTTTTGTGTTTTCAGTAGAGAGGGTTTCACCATTTGGCCAGGCTGGTCTCGAACTCCTGACCTCAGGTGATCCACCCACCTCAGCCTCCCAAAGTTCTGGGATTACAAGCATGAACCACAGCACCCAGCCTCCAATGTATTTCTTAAATGAATTTGATTGAAGTCTCATATCTCCTTAAAATGTATAAAACCAAGCTGCAGCCTAATCGTCTTGGGCACATGTTCTCAGGCCCTCTTGAGGGTTCTTTCATACATAGGCTATGGTCACTCAAAGTTGGCTCAAAATAAATCTCATAAAATATTTTGCAGAATTTGACTCTTCATCAACCGCTTGTCCCATTTCTGTAGAAGCCTGCTCTTAGAATCTGACCTGGAAGCAGGAATCTGTTAAATTCATTTTTTCAGGAGTTAATAATAGTTGTTGACAGTGTAAGAGTGATATAGTCAGGAGATGGAGAGATACTAGGTAGAAGAGGATGGTTTCCCAGCAAAGGCTCCATCCTCAAGCCTAGCTACTCGAGGCCCTAAATGGGAACAGGCGTTCCTGTTTTCATGTCCCAGAAGTTGTCTTTTGACCCCCCTATCCTGTACCCATATAACAGACCTCAGGCTCCAGAAGCAGATGAGCAGACAAGGAGATGAGAAGATGAACAGAAGAGCAGAAGAACGGCAGAATGGTGTGGCAGAGAAGAGAAAGAGCATCTGAACTCCAAGGGAAGATCATCTTCCCACTCCATCCCCCTTCTAGCTCTCCATGTATCCCACTGAGAGCCACCTCCACCACCCAGTAAAACCCCCACATTCACTACCCTTCAAGTCCGTGTGTGACCTGATTCTTCCGGGATGTTGGACAAGAGCTTGGGATGCAGAAAGCTGTCACACTGGCCCTCTGCCCTTGCGAAAAGGCAGAAGATCCACTGAACTGGTTAACACTTAAGCCATCTGTGGACAGCAAAGCTAAAAGAGCACACTATAACACATACCATGCCCACTTGGGCTTTGGGAGTCACAGGCACCCACCCCAGATGCTGCCATGGGGCTGGAGCCTCAAAGCACTTGCCCTAGCTCCTGTGCCTGCCCCTCTGTGTGCTCCCCCTCCTGTTAGGGGTTTGAGTGTGTGGTGACCCAACACATGAGCAATAGCCCTGTTGCATGTCCTGTAAGGGTAGCCAGGGAATTCTCCCATTTCAAGAGTACCTCTCCTAGAAATATTTGCATTTCACTTAAGAGAT